TACATGTTCAGAGGTGCGGAGCTTAGAAGAAATTATGGACACTATCGGAAAAAACAATGTTGATGATGAAGTTGAAGATGATAATATACGTTAGGAATCAGTTACACGTAAGGAAATACATATCTCATCTAGAACACTTCACAATTTTATGGTGCAGTTCGAAAAAACAACATTGGAGCTCTTGGATGCAATAAGAAAAGTTAGAGATGATGTTCAACTACATTTAAATTGTAAGAAAAACCAGAAAACAATAGAATCATATTTCACTAAATTGTCTTAGATATATTTATACTTTTAAAGAACTATTAATTTATGATATTAATGGGACCATATATTTATATAGGGGTCATCTGAAAATATATTATCTTATCGAAATTGATGATTTTTTTCATTAGCCCAAGTCAGGATCAGAGAAAATTATTATTTTTAGAGAGATAATTAATTTAACGAGTATTAATTTATAGAGTTATAAAATTTATAACTAAGTAGGCATTTGGCTACGTGATACCATATCACGATATGGTATCGTGAGATGAAATCAGCGTTTGGACATGTGATTTTACGTGAATTCCGTCTCATGATTCCATATCATCAGATGTGATTTGATATTCTCCAAAAAACATGATATGGAATCCATGAGAATATCATATCATGTTTGAGATATTTTAATACAAAAATTGATTCACGAGTTTATATTTTGTTCAAATAACCCCATATTTATATCTACAAACCATTTATTTCATATGTAAATAAAAATTATAATTACATCATTACTTTTAAAAATTTATTATTCTCACTAATATATAGTCACTTTAACTCACACTTCATGATCGTTGAGTAATGAAATCATGAAGAGCCCGTAAAAGGTGTTTCATTTTTACTCAAATATATTAATGAGAAGTGAAAGTTAGATTGAAACAATTATTTAAGTAGAGAACAAATAGTTTTGTAATAATTTATCATGCGATTTTATAATTTTTTGTTTATTTGATAAGATTGAATAACCAATTGGGGCTATTTTAATAGTTTTAGAACTTACGAAATTTTTATATTTATGAGAAAATATACAACACCAACATTCCATATCGCATGTCCAAACAAAACTTTAGTTTCATGTCATTATTCCATATCATGATATCATATTGCATAGCTAAACCGGCCCTTGTATACTTTTATCAAATACATATTACCAAGTCAATTAGGTTCATTACAAGAAATCTTATACACTACTTGCAAGTCCACTAAGAGCACTCTTAAAAAGCAAAAATACATTTATACATGAATAAAATGTGTCTTATACAGTAACGAAACGACCCCTCGGTGTATTAAAAATAGCCTTTTCTTTCTCAAACTACAACTTTGAATATTGGCCAAACCATTTGTCAGCTAATCAGGCCCCTCCATTGCCCTAGACTTTTGTATCCCTTGGCAACCCTGAATTCAATTACACCAACAAAATAAAAATGAAAAACACAGTCAGCATCATGAGGATAAAATGGTCAAAGAAATAATACAAATGAGGAATCCTAGGTGGGTGGGGTGGGGTGCGCATGTTAGCAAGAAGAATGGGGTTCTGCTAATGTGCGCCAACAAAATGAAGTTGAGGTCAAGATTAAAGCAAACATCATGAGGATAAAGGAGAGAAAATGAGGTACCCCATGTTTGGGTTGGGGGTGGGGGTGGGGGAGGGGGATCGGAATATCTCATTCCGATAGTCTCGATCTTTGTTTCTTCATTTTATCAGGGATTTGAATCATATGATTTTACTTTAGATATATTTCCATGATAGTTGTGTTAGGGGTTGGGGTTAGATTAAGTCATTTCGATAATCTCGATTTTTGTTTTGTTTATTTTATCAAGGATTTGATCATATGATTTTACTTTAGATATATTTTTCATGTTAGTTGAGTTAGTAGTTGGGGTTGGAATAGGTCATCCCGACTATTTCGATCCGTTAATTTATTTATTTAACGAATTATCTAAATTTTCACATTCATTTTAGGGATAAGGTGGGGGTACAAGTTAGCACGAAGAATGAAGTCCTACTAACATGCGCCAATAAGAAAAAAAAAGAGTAATTTGGATCTAAGATTTATAACCTCTTATTTTGTGATTTCCATTGGGAACTGAGCCTCTCATCCAATCTTTGTTTGGCTTCTCTTGCAACTTCACCTAATTTCTCATCTTCATATTCTTGGCTTGTTGCATTTCTTTCCTATTCATTCAAAAAAAAAAAAAATAAATAAATATCATAATTCATTTAAAAAAAATTGATTGATCAATATAGATGAATTCAATATCTAAAGGTGATAGATTTCAGAATGATTATTATGTATTCGAGATGAAAGTAATGAATTCAATTACATTGAGATTCATTTGTACGAGTACATATAATCTAATCAAGCAAAAAAATATATATAATATAATTTTTCAACGAACTGACTTTCGATCGTACCTGGGATAATCTTGATGTAAGGTTATGTTCATGGCTACTTGTGTATAGACATAGAAAAGATCTTCTTGTGGATGAAGATATATTATATGATGAATCAAACATTCCATTATTTTTATGAAATTTTCTTCTTCTAGCACATTCAACACCAGCTAGCATACCTGCCATTTTTTTTACTAGTAATATGATATAACAAAGTGAATATTTTTCAGATTTCGAGATAAAAGAATTTTTCGATATCAAAATATTCGATATAAATTCAAAGAGATTAATAGGCCTAACTTCTTCTATGTTTGATTAATAAATAGAATTTACGAAGGAAGGTGGTAGGAAGGATGTTGGAAACTTCACAAGACTTTTGGTCCAATTTCTTTATTGCTTTTTTTTTATATACTAGTAGAAATCAGTCAATTTTACGTAATTTTTAAATAATATATGTTTTTGTTTCTTTAGTCTTGTTGAATATGGATGATAATTACAATGGAACATAAGAAATGTCATTTCTTTTTTTAAAAAATAAATAAATTATGTTCATAGGTTAAGGCAAACAATAAATTAAAGAAAAAAAAGTGTTGAGATGAGATCTCTAAAAAGAGCACAAAGAAAGGAATTTGGGCTTGATAAGGCCCAATGAACTAATTGTGTTGTCCTTTAATATTTGTTCTTGTTTCCGTATATCTTTTTTTTAAAAAAAAATGGAGAATCGACAGTTCACGTAAGCAATTAACTGAATTTGATTGTGTTCTTTTCCTTCTTGTTTGTAACTTTAAAGTCGCGATGATTCGACATAATTGTGATAGCTATATTAAAATATAATATGAAGTCGTATTGAATTATCGTGACTTTCATGCTACATTTTTGAAATGGTACTGTTATTTTTGCCTTTATTTGTTTGTAGCTTTGAAATCATGATAATCTAGCATGATTCGTAAGTAAATCAACTGTTAATATGACAACTACATTTTATGTAACATAAAGTCATATCAAGTATATGCTATGTTAGTACTGATACATCGTGAAGTTTATTAAACGTATCATTCATGTTCTGATTGTTTTTGAGAACATAATGAAAAAATTAGGGTTTTAAGAATCAAAAATTCAATTACATGATGATATATTACAATATGATAACATTAATTTATTGGTAATGTATCATAAATTTCAAATTAACAACCGATTCAAAGTTTGAGCAACAAAAACAAAAACAGATCAAAACTCATTACCTCGAGTAGATTCAAACAAGAAATTGGGGATGATACTTTTTGAGAAAATTACAGAAATAGCCCCTTTTATTTCACTTATTTCCATTATTCTCTATTACTTTTTAATATCTCCAAATCTCTTTATTTTAAAAAATGTAATCGAGTTGCATATTAATGTATCTGACTCAGTATTTTCATGTATCCGACTACATATTAACGTATTCGAACCAATATTTAATGTTTTCGAGCTACATATTATATATCGAACTAGTTTTTAATGTATCCTAGTTACATATCAATGTATTCGAGACATAATTTAATGTATTCAAGCTATATAATAATGTATTCGAACTTCAATTATTGTATTCGAATTTTTTAATTTTTAAGAAATTAATGTAATTAATAACTTATTAGGGATAGATTATAATTTCATGCTAAAAGTACAAAATTTACTTAATTTACCCAAAAATGAATGAACCATAAAATCTTATAATTATAAAAGATAATTTTACTGATTATTTTCCTTTCAAAACGACATACATATAGTGGAAAGGAACAAAAGATATTTTGAGATAACGCTAACTCAATTCAACATAAAAGTATAATTGCATATTTTTTCTCTTTTTTTTCTTTTTCTTTTTTTATATATATCTATGTAAAAAGTTTTGTTAATAAATAAATAAGAACCAATACTTTGCCCAATTTTTGTATACCCCTTTTAAGGAGTTCTGATATTTTCTAGATTACTTTAAAATTAAACTTTAGTATTGAATTTTTTTACCACTTAAACGACCCTCCTTACTTTACCTCTTATAAATGAAGCAAAATCAATATCTTTTTGTACACTTATAATTTATTGAAACACTTCTTTAATGCTACTATTATTATAATGCAATTATTTTTTTCTCAACTATTTTTTTTATCTAAAAGAAAATAGTAAATTAATATCACAAATATGTATTGAATTAACACTGAAACTTCATATCTGAATCAAAGATGTAAATCAATGAGTATTGTGGTGGAATGACAACTGATAAGTATTTCTTCATCCTTAATCAAGAGACTTCGAATTTTATTTCATGACGGAGCTAGAAATTTTCACAAAAAATATTCAAAAAAATATAACTAAGCTATAACAGTTTAATCACCATATGACTATGCCATTGATTTAAATTTCCTTAGATACGAAGTGTATATAATCAGAATCAACTCATATTTATAACTCAATATCATATAAGATTTGTATATTTATGAGATCAATTTAAATCAAATTGAAATATCTTTTTGACATTTTATTTTACGTGATTATATAATGCACATTTTTAGACACGTTAGCTTTTTAGTTACACAATCACTTTTTTTTTTGTTAACCTTTTCTTAAAGTTTCATCTTTGCTTGGAATACTTATCCTAAAGTTTTTTATCCAATCAACATCTCAAAAAGACAAATCTTGTACACAAAAATAAAAAAATATCATGTTCATAATTTTGTTTAAAATTCTCCAAAATTTGCTAAAATCATGTCTGGTTTGTTTGTTGGAATTTTGTGTATTGCAAAAAGGGGTTATCAGTTCAGATCATTTGATTCTGCTTCTTCCATGGTATGCTAATTCATCTAAAACTCCTTTCTCGAAAAATTATATTATATACATATATACATTATATATATATATATATATATATATATATATATATATATATATATATA